AATGAATTATTGTTTCCATTTTATAGTCAATAAATGAGTCTATAGTTTGTAAATATTATTTTGAAATTGAAATCATTTTTGGTTATACTGTAATAAGTAAATAATAAATATAAAATTATGGCAAATTAGACCTTGTTTATTTATATTAATGAATTATCTAATTTCTATAGATTTGTATTGAATTCCATGCTTTCATATCATATAATATTTAGATTCTAAATGCTTAGTACCGTAAGTATGGGCCATGAGAATCATCATATGCTTGTAAAAAGATACTGTAGTGCATTGATCATATTTGTTAACACAATTCACTTAACAAAACAGTGGATTTAACTTTGAATTGTATTTAATTTATAGACCATAACAAATCAAATCAGATTCTGGAGTGGGTTTCACTTATGATAGTGTCAGTTAAAATGTCAATAATAATTGCGATAATTTATTGGACAAAATATGCCAAAATTAGTAAATTAAAAATCACGAATATATCATTAAACCGTATAATGAGATCACATAAAGTAACTCAAAAATTGCCAATTACGCAAGTATTATGTGTTATTATTTTATTTTTAGAAACACAATCACATCATTATTTCCAAAAAACATTTGTACTTACATTCATTTAGTGCCTTTACAATTATTTTTAATATTAGAATATAATTTAATCATTAATATATTTAATATTTGCATATTCAATACTTCAAATTGAATGAATGATAATAAATGAATTTTAAAAATGAAATAAGTGTTCAATAAATGATTATCTAATAATGTTATTGTATTATCCTTTTGGGAAACACATTAATCAAAAGAAAAACAAAACATTAAAATTAAAGCTTTTGTAAGCATGTTGTGTAAGAACTGAGAATTTTCTTTAAATAACAAAATGATAACAAGAATCGCGAATAAAACTTTAAAAACATTTTATTGAATCACATATAAATGAACATTATAATAAGTATTATTAATGTATTTGTATTTAAATACTTGTCTGACATTCAAAATAGTTGTCATGAAATCATAATAAGTGTTTATCACAGAATGAAAAACAAATTTTCCGGAAATTTTGAGTTTCTTTTCTAAAACTTATAATTCATGTGAGAAATACAAAACCTCCGAAAGAGACAGTATTTATATTGAAAACAATATGCAAGTGACGGACAGGCGTGTCATGAATACTAAATCATAAATTGCATCCGAAGTTTGTCATCGAAATTCTTGTAGTTCTCTCACATTGTCTTTAGTCTGTGTTTTTTCGCTGAAATGAGGAATATATTAGTTTTTGATTAAACATTTGATTACAACGATAGCAAAGAACCGGATTTTTCAGGGTCTGTATGACTGAAATCTATTCGCTCTCTCCGTCTCTCTCACTCACTCTCTCTCTCTCTCTCTCTCTCTCTCTCCTCGACATAAATACAAGTTTTGTATATTAATTGTGAATTAGAATTAGATGTGAAATGTTTTTCACGTCTCAAAAAAGTTTAAACTTCTTTTAAGTGCTTTTCAGTACTTATTATTAAAAGTTTTATTTGCAAAAGAAGTTCATCTTTACTTAAAGTGAATCCAATATTTCATTACTAATGAAGACATTACCATTACATGCGATTAGCCTATTGTCGGGTAAATGAATATATCATTTGATAAATTGGTAAAACATATTTTGATTAATTGTTCAAAATGATTTTCTCCCAAAAACCCATTAATAAATTAGTTTTAATAATAAATGGTTTCGTAAAAGACGTTAAGACAGACGTAACGCAAAGTTGTCTCCAATGTATTTGCAAGGTATCTATAAAATACTGTTCCCTTCCCTACCCTTGAATGCGATGCAAAAGATGTCTTATCTAAAGGAAGGGTTTCTCTCACTACTAATGAATCGCTAAATAATTCTTTACTAAAAGAGAAATTGAATTTTATCTGAAAAATGAAAAATTATTTTCAAAATCAAAGGCGAGCTCCGGCTGTAAGCTGAACACCAAGTGCCACAATTCGGGTCCCAATGCCTACTTCTGCGGTCCCTATCAGATCTCCTGGGCGTAAATGAAACACACATTTAATTGTTTTGATTAAAACAAATGTTTATTTTGGAAATTCTTGTGTTTGCCGACTCCTAGCTACTGGTCTGACGCGGGAAAGCCTGGAAGTACTGGTCGTTCCGATGACTTCGAGCACTGTCTGAACGACAAGACCTGTGCCGAGGTTGCGGTCAAGGGTTATATGAGTAAATGGCAGAAGGACTGCAACAACGACGGTGTCATCGATTGCCTCGACTTCGCTGCCATACATAAGGTCTTCCCATTGAAAAGATTTCAAAAACTTTTTTCATGCCATCAAAACACATCAAAAACTGATTTCTTTTTGTTTCGTTTTATTTGTTTAACGAAAAAGTTTTTTGTTTTCTTTTTTACTTAACATTTCTTGAAATATATGTCAAAAACATTAATTCTTCTGAAATCCTGTGACTAAAGGCAGGCGCGAGTTCTTGTGATAAACAATGGCTTTATAACAGTCAGTATTGGAATGTCTTCCGTCAGTGTCAGCTCAGCGCCGGTGGTATTGCATCTCATGTCTTGTCTCATGTCTATAGCATTCACTTTAAGTCACTATTAATTGCCAAACAATTTGATTAATAGATGCCAAGCCACAACCTCCACAGCCATCACTCACTGATGAGCCATGGATTCCCTCTCAACCCCAAACTCCTAGACCTCAATCGCAACCTCAACCTTATCAGCCCGACCCCTGGAACCGACCACAGCCACAACCTCGTCCTCAATCACAGCCATACCCTGATGACCCTTATAACCAGCCACAGCCCCCGACTTCAAGAGATCCATGGAATAAACCGCAGCGTCAACCCCAACCCCAATATCAACCCCAACCCCAACCCCAACCCCAATATCAACCTCAACCTCAACCCCAACCACAACCCGATTCGGATGACTCAATAATCCAACCATATCCCGGCGCACCCGATAACTCCCCTCCTCAGCCTAAACCCGATGAATCGTGGGATCCCATCCCATCCCAACCTGTAAACAATGATAATTACAACCGACCCCAACCCCAACCTCAACCACAACCAAATCCATGGGATCAGCCGCAGCCAAACAATCCCTATCCGTATGACCCATATAACCCTGGTCAACCTGTAACAGAGGACCCCTGGTTGGAAGTCTCGCGAGCGGTTGATGAAGTGGCCCGCCCTTCACCCAAACCCCAGAATCAGCCCCAGAATCAGCCCCAACCACAACCCCAACCACAACCACAACCCAGTGATCCATGGAATACAAACAATGATCAGTCACCACCACTGGTGATTCCGGGCAGAGCCCCCACGCAACCTGTTAGTTGGTCACAACCAAATGAAACACCCTATAGACCTACAGTCGATGCCAACCAACCAAATCCAAAGCCACAGGTGCCACCGGTATATACAACTATATTATATTTGTAGTATTTTGAAAATCCTATAATGACTTTATGTTTTATGAACTATCTTTATAGTCACCAACACTTATAGAAGTGCCAAACAATGGCACTAATATTGGCGACCAATGTTTTGAATGCATTTGTCAGGTATGAGATCATAATCTCTATTATCAATCCAATAATAACCACTATTTTGATCATATATTGAGGAAACCAATAAATAGGTCTACAATTAAAACTTTCCTCAAAAAATATTTGTTTTTATAATAACTTAATAAATCAAAAATGTTTTGATTGGAGAATGACTTCACGGATATAAGAAATATAAAGATTTAGTTTATATCAAGAATAAGTGTATAAAACTGAAACAAATTGAACAAAACATTGAAAAAAGATTTAAATTGAAAATAATTCCTAAAAAACTTTATTTTGTTTTCTCAGGCGAGCAGTGATTGTGATCTTAACAAACAGTGCGAAGGTTTGCAAATAAATAAGTTTTTTGTCTAAAATGATTGTTTAGCGAGAAATACACGAAACACAGACTAATTGTATTTTATAGGTTCGTATTGCGGGCCATACCTAATAAGTTGGGCCTATTGGTCAGACGGCGGTCAACCTGGAGGTGATTACGTGACCTGTGCTAATGATAAGGGATGTGCTGAGCGCACAGTTCAGGGATATATGAATAAATGGCAGACAGATTGCAACGGAGACGGACTCATAGATTGTACTGATTTCGCGGCGATTCATAAATTAGGTTTGACTCCAAAAAAAGCGGATTTTTTTCGCCTGAACTCTAAAAACTGAAAGGAATCTCAATATAATTGTTATGTCTATTGTTGTGCATATTAGGGCCGCATTCGTGTGGTTCGCAAGCAATCCATGGCACCGATTACTGGACGTCATACCAGTCCTGTCAAAGTCCTTCAATAGAAGCGCGAAGTATTTAATCGTTTCTCTCTATAGCTCTATAAATGTTATAAAAATTTCGCTTTCATTCATAGGACTGGAGCCCAACCCTAAAAGGGATTCTATCACAGGTCGCAGTGTACCGCAGTCTCAACCAAATGCAAACCTATTCCTCGAGTACCCAAATCCTAATCCTAATCCAAATCCAGTTGAGTCGAGAGCCAACAATCCTGTGACTAGAGATGCGCCCAATTATTATGCAAGAGATTCGCGGATAGCATTCCCCAGGGATGACCCAAACCTATCACAGCCTAACGGCTATGAAGTCACGACAGGACCCGTCTCTCCAATCAATGCAAACAATAAGTCCAACGATAGAGCACTGGAAGCGCTGGGATTGCAAAGAGAGTGTTTGGACTGTATTTGTCACGTATGTCTTGACAAGAGATAACAATTTCTGTATAATTTTATTGCAAACCATTAATTAAGATCTGAATGACTCTATAATTATCAGGCGAGCAGTAAATGTAATCCAGGAATTGGCTGTCAGAGTGATGGGTCAGGAGGCTATGTGTGCGGACCGTATCAAATGAATTGGGCCTAGTTCAGTACACTTCATACTATACATACAATTCGAGATTTAATTGAAAACATTTTGTGCCCAAAACTAAAGTATGTTTTTATTGATTATGACCCACAGCTGGTCGGACGCCGGCAAACCGGGCTTCAGAGGCAACTTAGAGAACCTCGAGAACTACCAGTCCTGTCTCAACAATAAAGACTGCGCCGAGTCAGCCATTTATGGATTTATGCGAAAATGGAAACGCGATTGTAATGAAGACAATCAAATCAATTGCTACGACTTCGCGGCCCTCCATATGGCCGGACCCGCCAATTGCAACGCCCAGTGGTTCCTGGAGTCCCAGTATTGGTCTGATTTCAGAGAGTGCTTCGACTTTCGCAGGAGATAATCAGTTACAGTGACACCAATTATCCATTAAATATTAAATTTATAATCAATTTTGTTGCCAATAATCGCACAATAATCGCATTTTTGCCAATAATTGCAACCAAACTATATTTACATTTGTTATGCATTTTGTAAGAATTTTGTGATTAAAACTAATTGAAATGTTGAGAAATCTTTTTGCGATATACAGTATTAAAAGTTATCTAAAAGTCATACAAAATACGCGAATAATTAATTGAAAAGTTTTGTAAGGTTTGTGAACTTTTTTTTGTTAAAAACTATATTTGCTTTAAGAGAGAGAGAGAGAGAGAGAGAGAGAGAGAGTGGAATAGAGATTAGATTGCATTGAATCGATTGCTTGCCTTAAATAGAAAAGTAGAAAGTTTTGCAAAAAGTTGTTATGAAAAGAGAATTAATAAAAACGAATGATTAGTGATATTAAGCCATATTATGATTAAATACAATAAAGAGTACACACAATACTTGTTATTTATATATGTGTTCGCAATCCTCCACTTCGGTAGAGTGTCTGTCTGTCGGCATCAGGCATATCACGGGCCGACTTAACTCCCTGTGCGAGATAGAGTCGTAGGTGTGACCTCTGAACTCTCGTGATTTATTGTGGCGCCGACTCTCTATTTTTATGGGTGAGAATAAACGCCAAGCAATTAATGATCACAAGAGAGTGAGGACTCGTTTTTTAACACAAGAACTCAATAGGCAGTGAGAGAGAGAGAGAGAGAGAGAGAGAGAAAGAGAGAGAGAGACAGAGAGAGAGAGAGAAAGAGAGAGAGAGAGAGAGGATTGAGTGTTCAATAGAGAGAGAGAGAGCCAGTGTTTGTTATGGTGAGGCGACGTACGGGCCGGTAAGCCGTTGCCTTTGATCGTGCGAATCGCGCCCACAGTAGGCATCGATTGTCCCCAAAGCCAACACCACTTCTCTCTTACATTCTGTTCTCTATTTGTTTTTTCCATATATTTCTTGGTTTAGTTTTAACCAAAAATTATAGATTACGTACATTTAGATATCAGTGCGAAATGATGTGGGAGTTCATGATTTGTGACCCAACGCTAAACTCTATCGCAAATCGATAATCATTTTCAAAGCATTTATTCTCGTTTTTAACTTATTTTTTCGTTTGTTTTTTAATTACAAACAAAAATAAATCTTCAGATTAAAGGCGTTTTGCGTTTATTCTCTTATACTGTATTTAAATATATATTTTGCTTTCAATCAATCATTACTCGAATTCACGGAATAAGTCATTAAAATTCTGCAATTCTTTGGAGATTTGTACAAATAGTTAGACTTAGAATCCATTTATAAATATTGATTTAGTATTGCTTTCAATTACCGTTAGCTTTAAAATGAACGTAAAAAATGATTTAAAAGTAAGATTCGAGACAAAAAAGTATTTTATCAATAAATTTATTAAATTAACAAAAACGAGAAAAGGCATAAAATTATAAACGAATTTAAACTTAAGTTGTAAGTAATAGTTAATAATAAATAAGTAACGAAAAAGTAGTTTTGAATTGAAAATAAATGTCTTCTCTCTATAGATGTAAATAATATTTGATTTTCAATACGAAAGCAGTTTTTACCCGTAATTTAAGAGCCATTACATAAGTCTTTCAATTTTTATTATAACTATACACTATACATAAGTTTATAACTTTATACATCACTAGAAAATGTAATGAATTTTAAAAAATAATTTATATTCAAGTCATAAATACATGTTTCAGCTATTCGTTCGTAAAAATGGATTAAATAACAAAAATAAATATGAATTATATTCAAGACATGAATTATTGCATTATATGCTCGCAATCGACAAACTCTTGTAAATCTTGAGGCAATTCAATGCCATTATTGGCGGCGAACTCAATGATGGCATCAAACTTATGCCTCAGATCTGTCACCTCTTCGCGGATCTTATTATTCGCTTCAGACAATTGTCTGATGTTTGTCACCACCTCTACCTTATCGGTCTCCAGATCTCCTATAAAGCAGACAAACAATCCTTTATTACGACATTCAATGCCATTGACTACACATTCATTACAATCACTTTAATCACACATTCATTACAATCACTTCAATCACACATCAATACATTTGCCGCACACTTATAATCACAATATAATAATCAAATCAAACAAAACTAAACACAACAACAACACAACACTTAACAGTAAGGCCTAAACAATGGCTGTGTGTGAGGGGAACGGGAGGAATGCCTACCTTTTTGCTCGAGCCGTTTGTTGCGACACTGGGCGGCGTACCCGCGGTTCTTCAGTGTACGCCTCCTTTGCTTCATTTTGATCACTTCCTGTCGCGACAGACCAGACATCTTGAGTCGGCGGTTGAGTTCGCGCACCGATAGCGTCACCAACAGGTCATCCGTGAGTCCGTGTCTTTGAGTGACGGCCTGTGTCTGCGAATCCATGCTATCGAGCGTATCGTCCAAATAGGTGTCAACACTGGCAGCGATGGCCACTAACTCACTATCACTGCCGTCTAAATCGATGTCACAGTCATCCGAGTCATCACTGATTACACGTTTCGCTGGTTTCGCAGATGTCTTCTTCAGTGATGCCTTCAGTGATGTCTTCAGTGATGCCTTCAGTGGTGTCTTCAGTGATGTCTTCAGTGGTGTCTTCAGTGGTGTCGCCGTTCGTCTCCTCTTGTGAACTGACGACTCGTTTTTGCCAACTTTTCGTCTTTTGTTTCGTTTTGTCATTATTTCTCTTATTTATTATGATTAACACAAAACTCAATACAAAAAGTGAATTAAATTTGAATAAATTAAACACAAAATCCAAGACTTAATGCTTTGTCACAAACCATACAAACAGTTAATTGTCTGCAAAACTGCTTTTGTTTACGAAATGCAAGTCATCGGCGGTTAGCATTGCGTCCCATTCACATATAGCGTACGTATTTATGCAACGCTGGAGGTAATGGCAACTGAGACCGTAATCGTTGAGAAGTTTGTACGAGAAATGCACTGAAAATAAGGGGATTTTAAGTGACAGTTATTATTGAATGTGATTTGTGTATCGCTATATTTATTGCTTTATTATTGCAAATATGTTTATTTATGCCATACATTTTCAGTGAAATATTTTGTAGCCTTATTAGTCCATAAACTATATACACGCTTCATGTGTTATTTCTATAATATATTATCAAATACTGTACTCAATAGACACCTGACGTCATGATAAGTATGAAAAACTTTTTTATATGATTGAAAACTTTTATACTGATACAGTATCTAGGCATAAAAACTTTTTTTTAAAGTACCTGGATATTAAAATTAAGTAAAAAATTAATATGCAATTCATTGATACACCAAACATTACACGGATCTGAAAACTGATTAAAAATAAATATAAAAACTTTTATTACATAAATATAAATATTTTATAATAAAAATAAATTCTTCGATAGATTTCTATAGTATTGAAAATCAATGAAAATTCTTGGTTTCAATGGGGTTTCATTGAATTACTTATACACTCCTGTAATTACCTGTAGTTTTAGTGTAAACGTGACAATAAGTTAGTTTAAGTGATGAATTGAATGACTTCTTAATGGTTAAGCCATTTGGAGACACATTTAATGAATGATTAGTGAGAATGTACTGCAGATAGCAATCAGTAATTTGGGTCAACCCTAACAACTAAACACTTAAACCACTTTAAACTGGTCCCTACCATGGAGTCAATAAAATTGTATGACTTATGAGTTGTTGTCTTCTCTATAATCCTTTAAATGGATTTGTGAGACAAGAATTGGTGTAAAAGAAGCCAATTATCAGGTTATGTGTCGTCTATTGAGATATGAATTATATTTATAGAAAAGAGTCAATCGCTTGAAGAATAGTTGTATAGACTTTCCATTGAAGTCATAAATAGTGCCAAAAATACACTCAATACACACTAAATACTTATAATCTTAATCTACATGTCTAGTCTATTTAGCATGGCCAGTTAGTCAGTGCTTAAAACTGTATGAAACGCTAAATACATATTGTGTGTAACGTACGGAATATTTGTTGATTACATATATTGTTAAGAGTTTTGGTTATACAGTAAATGAGGGAAGAGTTGATAAGTTGTATACGAAAAAGTTGAGCCAATTTTGGGGTTTTGTTGTTTCAGATGTTTGTGCGAAACTCATGGCACGAAAACCTAATGAGTCTTTTAACATAAGACCTCAAATAAATCAAGTTTTCTGATCAGTGGAGTCAGTCTTAAGCACTGGGACTAAAGCTAATGGTGAGTCCATTAACAAATGAACGCCTGGAACCGCTCCATACAAACACACAGCCCTCCAATCACTACCATCTCTACCATCTCTACCATCTCTGATACTTATAATACATGTGTTGTTTCTATTGTCAAACAATATGTTACAAACATTTAATTAAGTAAATTCTGTTCACTCTTTCCCAATAGGATATGATTACGAGAATAGTGTTCAGAACTCTATGTATAATATATTATTCATACATTCAATCAGTTGTCTGTCTGTCATCACAGAGTTATTGAACTTAATCTCGCAATTAGTCCGTGGAGTAGATGTTAGGCTCACATGTAATTGAGTTATGATATACTGATAAATATGTTATAAATATATTGAAAATCTCATCAAAATTTCTAAAAGCCGTCAAAATAGACATTAAATTATTCGTTGGCTTCAGTCTATTGTCTTGACTCGGAAAATATGAATTTCAAAAGTTATGATCAAAAGAATATTCAAATGAATGAATGAAACGGATTTAGAGGTCATTTCTAGGTTTGAATAGTTTTTCATTTCATATAATTGTGTGATTCATATGAACGCTATTTCGAAATAAATTATAATATGATTGTGTTATTGATTGAAAAGCAAAAGCAAACGCGATTTTGAATTGAATAAAATTTTATAATAAATAATAATAGGTTTGCAGTGATATTAATGGTCTGAAATGGTTCTTAAGATATGGTTATCCAAGACATGAATAAATGTATTGATAATTATATGGCGTTTGGATGCGGAGTCGGCCTTAATGTTGAGAAATTAATTTGCATTTTATCTCAATCTTTTCAGTCATGAAAACTAAGAATTAATGGGAAATCTTGCAGAATATAAGTGAATAAAATGAATGAAGTATCCAAAGGAATACAGTATAAGCATATTGTTAAGAATTGTATTCAGAATTTCTTGAATGCTTAGTTATTTAGTTTAATGCTTTTATTTATACAGTTTCCTCAATTATTTAATTGTCTTATTAAACAATAATTAAACTAACAGTCAATAGTTACATAAGAATTAACAGGGTATTGCTTACATACAATTCTAAGTTGATGAAATAAATTACACATTTCCAGGTAATAAGGATTAACGTTACAGCATTTTCATTGAAAAATTTTATATGACTAGAAAGATAACATAGTACTACAAACAACTACAGTATTATAATATAAGTAAATAATAATATTGATATTACCGTAAACTTCTAATTCGAGTCTAAACTCATAGCAAACAATTGCAGTGAAAACGAGTCGCTTATTATCAGTTTAAACCTAATTCAAGATAAACTGTTTGTCTCTTTAGACTTTTAGACAAGAATTTCAATTAAAATATTTGACAAAAGCATTCAATTTATTTTCAAAACGAATTATTAGATTCAATAAATTAATAAAATAAGAAAATGTCATTAATTTTTGCTGAATTGAGTTAAAATTCTTGTGAAACAAAAACGAATACTAGAAATACTTTGTAAAACATTTTTGGCCATATATTACAAGTTAATGACTATATATCGCTAATCCCTATTATATGACATCTCGTTTGGGGTGTAAAACATTTTAAGCTATTTGTGCAATTGCTAACTGTGCTCTCTCTCTCTCTCTCTCTCTCTCTCTCTCTCTCTCTCTCTCTCTCTCTCTCTCTGTTTCTACTCTCAAATTAAAGGCAATAATATTCGTATGTATTGTTGACGTAAATGTAATATTACTTTGCGTTTCAAATGAGTTATTGGGGGCCCAAACAGAGACAGAGTACTAAATAAATGGCTCACAAATGGTTATATGAGTTGGACTCTAAATAGTAGGCTCACAACAATTGGCACATAAATATAATTATATTTAAAAAATATAAATTACTTTAATGTAGACATCAAAAGACTAAATACATTCACAAAATAACACAACAAACTTTTGTATTGTTTTGTGCGATATGTATAAGCGGTTGAATGTGTTTTAATGTGTGTTGTGTTTATGATATTTATATTTTGATGCATACACTGTATTTATAAATGATTATACAATTCCTTTCGATCATTATTCTCGTTATTTATGACACATTATCTGCTCTCTATTCATATGAATGTGTGTTTTCCTCATTCACTCTCTCCCTCCCTCTGCCCCAACATATTGTGCACACCGTTTGTAATCACACTTTTATAGCACAGGAATATACTGTACATACACTTTCTTTGGCTTATATTTTATGCATACAATAGATTAGATTTCTTTCATTTATGTCTCACTATATAATGGCATATCTGAGTCCAAATTGTTATTTTGCTTCCCATCCTGCGATCAGACAATAGCACTATTTTCAGCTACTAATTGAATGAAATATACATAAAAAGCACAAATACTTTATATATAACACACATACACACGGAGGGCAAGAATATCTCTCATACCTGAGCTCTGGTTGTTGAGGCTGTTATCTGTTATATATATTTTTATGATAGTATTTATAATTCATTATTTGTGTGTTATTTTTCGATGCAAACGAAACTGTTGGCCATTAAATCCATGAGAGTTGCACTGAAATTGAAATCAATTCCCATGCACTCCAATGGGTGCTATATTTTATTTTTTATTATTTGCTTTCGTACAGCACTGGCAGTGCTTTTGTATGAAGAGTTAGAGACATACAGGGGTTTTATTAAGGCTTTGAGATTTAATTTAATATAAAACTGGGATCGAGAGGAGAGAGAGAGAGAGAGACTGTGAGAGGACTGACGCATAAATAGCTGTTGTTGTGGCTGTAGTGTTAACAGTGCCCTAAGAGTGTGAAGGTTTGGGATGCGAATCAGTGGTGTCGGTGTCGGCCGAGTCGACGATATATTAGAGACAATGGCTGTATAGACCCGAATCAACACCAATGCCTAACCTCTTTGCCTCAATGTGTATGCATTTGTCAGTTTCTATTTGCGTTGGCCTAACCTCACTGTGCACTCACACCCATCGCACTCTACTCCCAGTGCTCTCTCCACACAATCTGTGACTCACACATGCATTCATTCATTGGAAAGCCTTATGTACTCCTAATTTGTTGTATCGCTATCTCTGGCATACAATGAGAGTTAAAATTTAAAAGCATTGGTTTTACAGCAGCCGATGAATGAATGGATGCTTTTTCTCTGTCTCTCTTTATGCGAGTCTTACATATACTATGATATCTGTGGGTCTCATCTCATCCCTGGCCTTATCTCTGGTGCTGTGCCTCTATTACAGAGTGAGCGCACGTTTGTGTCTCTAAATTCAAATGCGAAAACTGGTTATCGATTTGATCCCTTCTCTCACTCCTCCTTTGTATGGTATGGATGGACCTCTTCTCCATCCAACTTATATTTTCACCATTTTTTGACATTTTATTTATTTCTTCTTTATTTCCTCAGTTCTGCACAAAAAGTATGACTTTTCTTATATATTATATAATACCATATACACACTGTATATATCATAAGTCATTGTATTATAAACTTATAGTTATATTATTGAGTTGTGGCCGACGAACAAGACTTGACTGGAAAAGCCTTTTATTTTGTGTTGCATTTGTGTGCTCTGTATGTGAACTGAGAGCTTATGATATGTGTATTATTATTCAGTCTCTC